ACAAGATTTATATTAATTGTATTTACAAAAATATATTAATAATTTTGATTCTTTAGTTATTTGAAAAGTACGCTGATGGGGACTCTAAAGGAAGGTGGACCCATATAGGAGAAGTTCTTGAAGAGCAATTCGAAACCCTATTTTGGAAAAGACCTGGTTAGCAAAATAAAACTTTTCCAATTGATATTAATAGAAGAGAATCATTATTAAAATTTGATATTGTTTGTGTTTTTTAGCATCTCGCGTAGAAGAAAGACGACGTTCAAATTTGGCTGCCAGAGCTCGAGAGCAACAATGTAAGAAATTTACTTAGTTTAATATCAATATTGTTTTAACCTAAATTTAAATATTACATTTTTAGAATCTTCTCTTTCTCCTTCACGTCACTCCTCCCAATCACCAACAAATTCAAATCGATCTGCATCTCCTAAAGAAACACCATAACAACCTGTCCCTCAATGATTCCTTTTTACTCCTTTTTCCTTTTTTCTTTTTCTTTTTCCTTTTTCTCACATAAACACATTTTTTCTAACTATTGTCACTCTTTTTTTTTTAACTACTTTCACTCATTCTTTTCTTTACTTTCCCAACTATTGTCTCTCCTTTTCCATTATCTTCACTCATCCTTTTTATCTTAATTTCAGTTTTTTTTTATAAAATTTTTTTTTTTCGAATTTCCGTTAAAAAAAAAAACCTGAACGAAGCTTGCTACCTCTATGTGGTGTTCAGGATCAAAAGTTACAGGTTAAACTATATCTGGCCAAGAGCAAGCATATATTATACTATTACTTTTACAAGACTTATTACATATTAAAAATTTTAGTTGTTTATTTAAATTTATTTGTTTAAACATTGAATTTATAATCATTTAAACTCTGCTTCTTCAATGAATAAATTGTATTATTATGGCTATAATGAATTGAAGGTCACAATTATCTGTTTAGAAACTGGTCCTAAACCCAGTTTTGAACCAGTTACAAAACCAGTTATTAAAGACTAGGTTACAAGTCCTAATGATGGAACCTGCAAGTTATAAGACTAGGACTGAACCAGGACGGACCTTTCCAACCCTAGTGATGTTACCCTCTATTACCAATTCCATGAAATTTTGATATGCTTCATTCGGCCATACTGCTATACATTCTGGCCTATTTTTTTCTTCGATAACGTCTAAGGCATCATCCAGAGATGCATCCTGAAGATCTTCAGATTCGAATTTGTGATCTTCAGCATTTATTTGCAAGTCTATTTCCATATCTTTGATATTTTCTTTAATGATATCTTCAGTTTCTGATTCTACGTGACTCCACAGATTATATTGTGGCTCATTTTAGAGATTTTTATCTATGATTATATCTGTTATATTAACTTGCGATGAAGGTTTTTCCATAAGGGTGAATAAAGCTGACTCTAGTGTCGTTATGATCGGCATACTCCACAAGCTCAAGTCATGTTCTGGACTTTGTATTGACTGCTACGATTATGATTTTTGGGGAAGCAATGTTTACCATGATGCATAGTGTTAGTATGTTGTATTAATTCGCTGGAAGTTGAAAAGATTCTCTTACAAATTCTACAACGAAATTCATCCATTATTAGTTTTTGTTTCTAAAAATTAACGTATGAAACACAATTGAATATAAAGTAATGATTTATTGAGAGGAATTGGTTATGGTTTATGCGATTTTATTTTTTCAATTTTTATATAACTAATTTAATAATTAAATTCAATGATGGCTTTTTAGCTTTTAATTATATCATCAATTATGTAACTGATTAAAATTTCTTGGCTTTTAAGCATTTTACTTGATGATTGTTTTCTTTGACTTCATCAATCAGATAATTGATTTAATTTTTAGTTAAATATATCAGTTGTGGCTTAATGATCATTGCGTAATATTTTAATACTCCAAGCATCACATTATTTATTATTTTTTTTTAATAAAAATATGAAATTCTCTAACCTTCGACTTTTTAATTTTTTGTGAACATTTTTTATCTGATTTTCGTTATTGTTTTTTTTCAGATCCATTTTCTTCGATAACATTAAAAAAAATCAAATTAATTAAAGAAGGCAAAGTAAATTGAGTTTTTAATCATTCAATTTTCAATATTAAATATTTTTATCTAGTTACACTATTACCTTTTTTTTAATTAATTAATTCTTTCTTTATTTATCTTATAAGAAATGATATTTCCTGAACAAATTTTTATTTTATCCAACATCACTAAAAATATGAATACTAAAAATACTAAAAGTTTTAAACAAATCACGTGCAACTGAAATTTCAGTTGAAACAGCTCAGTTACGAAAGAAGGCAATGAACAAATTTTCACAAATGCTATCCTATGCTAGTAAGTAATCAAAAAAAAATTTAATACTATAGAATTTTTTATATACATACCAACATATATATTTATAATAATATTTTGATTTTTTTTAAAAATTTTAAAAAGAATCAACAACAGCTAGATCATCAACCAATGATGTAGAAAATGATCAAGCAAACCTGCATGTTGATGTAGAAAATGATCAAAAAAGTCCGTCTGTTGATGTAGAAAATGACCAAGTAAACTCGTGCAAAAAATCATTTGAGCTAGTAGTACCTTTTGATTTAGAAAAAAATTAAGGAGTTTCGCGTAAAAAATCACTTAAACTAATGTCTACAGATATAGAAAAGAATCAGAGAACTTTGCGTAGAAAATCATTCGAACTAGCACCTATAGATATAGATAAAGTCGATGATTTTGAGGACAATGATGAATATTATAGAACGTCTGATGATAACAATCGATGTGAATCAGTAATAACCAATATTATGATTTCTTCACAGGAACTGGTCTCACAATCTTTTATAAATAAAAATATGTCCAAAGCTTACCTTACAAAAGAAGAATTCAATTATACGATAAATTTAATCGATTCAAAAATTAATGCATTATATAAACTTTGCAAATATATAAGTGAGTGACAAAAAGAGAATACCAAAGTATTAAATAGGCTTGTCGCACTTGATGAGCTTTCTGATGATTTTTGGAGTGTAAGTTAACACATCTGACTGTTTTATCTCAACTTCTATTGATATTTTATTATTTTGTAGCATGCATATAAGGAAGCAGTTAGGAAGTTACTACTCACCATCTTATTCCTTCAGCTAGCGAATTTCACAAGGCATTGGAAGACTTTCTTTCTGAACATGCTGACCATTTTATTGAAAGTATAGGTAGAAATAGCTGGATTTCTATGTTTGAAAAAAAGTTGTTACCAGAAGTAAGTTGAAATATCAAAACTTTAAAGAGATCTTTAATAATTCCATTATTTATTTTGTTTTTAGATTAAAGCTAAATATTGTAGTAAACGAAATGACATTGCAGCAAGCATCCATCATGTGATGTTTTTTGTCTATGGTGAATGGTTAGATCATATCAATAACAATATACCAATAATTAAAATCGCTGAATAGAAGTTAAGTGAAAAAACACAAGCCGCTTATGACGTGCTTTTTACTAATGATGAATTACTTGTGAGAATTGGGGATACTGTTTTCAAGCAGTATAAAGACAAGGAACTCCCGATAATGCATTGTGCTTATATTCTCGCTATCTGTAATATCTTATTAAATCCCAAAAGTCCTAGAATAAAATGTAATGACAAGGCAGTCATAAAATGGGTTAATGCATTTCTGGTAAATATATTTGTAATACTCTAAATTTTGAATATTTCACATATTATAATTGATATTTTTTATTAAACAGCGTGCCTATGAAAATAAGAATCCTATTACACAAGAAGTAATAGAACAGATAGCTGATGAAGAAGCCAAAGTTACTGTACATAACAGGAAATGAAATGAACTGTTATCACAAGCTGGAGGAAGCGAAGTAACAATGAATGATAAAGATGATTATGACAATTTGATAAGTTAGTTATTAATTAATTATCAATACATTTGCAACATTTTGAATTAACGGATATCATAATTTTCTTAGATTTCTAGACTGGATCGAAGTTTTAACTGCTAGTTTATTTTTTTTATTAGTAATATTTTCATGGGTTTTTTAAAGCAATTTTTTTTATGTACTGTATATGCATTATATTTGCGAATATTAAAATAAAATAAATGATTTTACTTATTAATTATTAATTGTAAAATAAAATCATGTAATTTACAAATGAAATTGTTTTGAAGATTTATTTAGTAAAAATGCCTACGCATGATTTTTAACCTAAAAATCTGTACAGAAATTATAGAAATTTTTCTTTGAAGTTTGGCGTCATGTACAGAGATCTGCACAGGAAAATTATATTACAGACCTGCGCAAATCTGATGTCCAAAAAAATTCCCGATGTAGGCTGATTTTTTGATAATTTGCTAAATTTAAGCTGAATTTAGACTGATTTTTCGCATGTCTGATTTTTTTGATTTTAACCAGTGTGTATTAATCAATTAATTATAAACCAGTTTAATGACCAAGCTTAAATGAGACTTCATTTAATAGTTTTTTTTTTTAAATGATGTGGCACTGTCAGTAACTTTATTAAATTTATACAAAAGAAATACAAAGTAAATCAAATAAATCTAGACTAAGTATTAGCTATCCCTGTAGTTATATTACAAACCCGTTTGAATTGATCGATCATCATCTTTCTCCTCTAACAAATCCATTAAGTTTATATCTAATAAAAGTTGCTATCAACAAGAGAAGAAAAAGAAAGAGTCAGTGTCTATCTAAAAATCTGTAAAGGTGTAGCCAAATTTATTTGTCAGGTGTAACCAATTTTTCTAATTGTATGTAGGAGTTAATGTTTTTCGTGTCTCAAGAATGAACTGGCACCTCATTTAATCTTGTCTTTGATTGTAATACCTAATGAATGTTCTTTTGCTATCATTAGATTGCAGCAGTGTTTCCAAACATCTTTGAATAGTTTTTGTTGAAAAACTATTAAGGTTTGAGTGATAATTGAGAAGTATTGACCCTTATTTCTGGTAATTTTGTACACTATGTCCACTAAAGAATAAGGAATGAAAGATCGAATAATGTTGATATAACCATCTGTTCTAAATATGGAAATGGCAAGGATGTTATTTAGAATATCCAGTAATTCTAAAAGAAACTCAGTGAGTTTAGAAACATTCAATTTTGTGAAGCGATTGATTAAGTCATCTTTAGCAGTTTGAATAATATCTTGTAGTCTTGTAGCATAGGCAGGGCAGGTCCAGAGATGTGAAGAAGTTTCTGTAGCCTGTTCACAGTCTACATAACACCAATGTTCATACAAATCAGGCTGTAGTATAGACAATCTAGATAAGATAGGTAATTCATTAACAAAATTTTTCATGATGAAGATCTTGAGTTTACAAGAGGCAAAAGAGGTGGTAAGTGAAGATGAATTTAGGGAGAATAAAGACCAAATGGCAGGCCAATTGATGGAGTGGTTAATAGTGAGATGTCTGATGTGATAATTTCTGTTTAGATCAAGAAAATTGCAGAAAGTTTTAGCAGAAAATAGTTGTATGAAGAAACCCCGAATAGATATTTCAACTGGTATATTATTAAAAGTAAAGACAAGATCAGATAAGGGAATATTGTTCAATACTGAGATAAGGGGATGAGCATTATATTCAGCTTTGGCCAGTTGGTCAGCGATATCGTTAAAGTGATCACTAGTATGTACTTTGACTTTGTAAAAATATATATTAAGATTCAGTGAATCCACTGTATATTTAATAAGGTACCAAATAAAGTGGTTGGGTATCTTTTGGCAGAAAGATTGTTATTTGAAACATATTTGGAAAATTCGTAAATTGTGGCCTGACTGTTCGAAAAAATATTAATAGAAGAAGAGTATAGTGATACTAACAGAGCAGTGAAGAGGGCATACATTTCAGCACGTGTTGATGAAGGCCAGTTTGTCAATGAGGTCTTGAATGAGTGATGGTTATTGAAGGAATCAATACAAATCTATTCCAGTCTCATTTTGCATGATTCTACTTTAGGAGAAATTAAAGAACCATCAGTGTAAAATTTTAGAGATGTATTGTCAGCAAGTATTATTTGTAAAGATTTAAGCTCAGTTAATGTTGAAGAAGAAAAAAACATCATGTAAAATAGATTGGTTAATGGGGACAAGAGGTAGTTATTCAAAGTAAGAGACAAAGTAAAAGAGGTGGGCCACCCTTAAGATTTTATCAGATAACTGTTTTAATTGATTTTTAAGAGTGTAAGATTGCTTATGGACTAAATCAACTTGAAAAACTCTGTTTGCAGGGATTGTAAAAGTACACATGCCAAAATGAATGTTGGCAGAAAAAAGGTTACATCTAGTACTTTTGAAGAGTAGGCTGATATTATCATTATTTGTAGAGCATACAAAATGTTGACGGATAAATTGATTATCAGTCAGGTTTTTGTTGATGATTTGATTAAATGAAAGGATGTTAGTTGTTGGATTCTATGAAGCAATAAATTCCTTTTTACGGTCATTCAAATGAGGTAAATTAACTACAAATCCATAGTGGAGTAGGGGAGAAACTAATCTAAATTCTGGTTTGAGAAGTCGCTGAATATTATATTCTAAAACAATGTCTGCTAATTTCTTGAAAAGAGTGTATAATCTAAAGTATTTGGAGTGATGATTAAATTTTCTGAAAAGGAAGTTAGCTATTGTAATCAACTGATAATCTGACGCAGAAATTAGTTAATCTAGGTAGAATAAATTATGATTAGTTAAGATTTTTTTGAAAAAGATGAAAACTTTATAAGGAAAGAATTTTGTAATAGAGTGAATTCCTCCTTTAATTTGGTTAGTGAGAAGAGGAGAAGCAATAAGTGAAATTTTAGAAGAAGTGGACTTAATGAGTGAAAGAGAAGTACCAATTAGATTTTTATAAGAAAGTCTATCGAATAGGTGAAACCAAAAATCAAAGGGAGAGGTGGCAAGAAAATGTTGAGATTGGAGTTGAAAAAGTCTTATAATAGAAACATTCTTATACGTGATCGAATTAGTGAACTGGTATAGGAGAGCGATAGAGAGAGATTTAATTTGTAATGACCAGAGATCATTCAAATTGTAGAATTATTTGAAGTTCAAAAGAACATTAGGGAGAGTAGAAGCAAATTTGTTCTTTTTCTTGAATAAAGAACGAACTGGTGCAAAAAGAGAAAGACATTCTTGTTGCAATAAGGGTGTGAGTTGTATACAATATTCTAATAGTGAACAAAGCATCATATTTATAATGTAAGAAATTTGTCTATCTGTGAGAGGTTTATAATGCATCAAAAAAATGAAATGATTAATATCGAAGGTGAGTTATTTTTTGACAAAAGTTGATGTGCATTTGCTGTTAATCCAGACTCCAAGAAAGCGTACAGATCTAGTTTTTGGTACAATATCGATTGTAGATGAACCAAATTTGAGAGGAATTGTTGCAGTGTCTGAAGATTTAGTCATTAATAGTTTAGATTTGTCTTTATTGAGCGCTGATCTGATAAGATCATAGAATTCTTTAGCAACTTCAAGAATAGATTTCAAATCTTGTTTTGAATTGGCAATCCAGTTAGTATCATCCATAAAGACAAGTAAAGAAACACTAGCAAATAGAGAACTGGTAACCATAGTAATTAGGTC